AATGTAGCAATCTTTTCCAAACTTCTATAGGATATTGATAAATCCATGGAGCTGGTTTTAGATTGCATATAAAGACTACTCGATTATGCTAAAGAAAGCATTCACAAGTAATAAATTACAAAACTTATTAAATCAATGTTTAAGATTGCTTTAAAATCTTTGGATTAATATAAACCAATATCGTTAAACTTACGCCATGACTGCACTTTTCGACGGTCAATAGAAGAAAGAAAGAATTCGTTGTCCCTTCCTTTGACATTCGTCCCAAGCACTACTGCCAAACGTCGAGATATGCCAATCATAAATTTGACGGTCGTATATGTTATACGGTGTTTACATCAACCCAAAATGTATTCCCACGATGCAGCGATGTATTCTATCATTCTTGTTTGTACCTATGATAAAAACATTACAAGGTAAAATCATTGAAAGCCAGGCTGACGTTTGTCACCAATCATGATAAAAATATAAAATTGAAAATAAACAAATGAAATTGTTCACAATTGTTGTCGTTTGAGATTAAAGCGAAGCGCACATTGGCGCGATTCTGTCGTTGCGAATCCGCAAGCCCAAAAATTACAACAATGCTACCCATACATTTTAATGCGCTAGCGCACACTTGCACGATTCCGTCGCTGCGAATTTTTCGAACATTCAATGTTCCTCTTTATTGACGCGTTCGAAACGCGGCTTGCAGCGTTTTGAAGGCGTCAAAGAAGAAGAAGAAAGGTGTCACAGCAATAAAGGCAAAGAAAAAAAAACGTACACGAAATAAAGGGAAAATATTGCGTTTTAAGCTCGTCGGCGATTTCAAGCATCCGTTGTTGGTTACCCCAGCAACGAGTACATGTGTGAGTGTCGGGTTGAATGTCGGGTGCTTGAAGCTTGCCCGGCGACACTCAAGCATAAAGCGTCAACACCATTTGCAATAAAATTTCGTAGTGGGCGGACGTAAACATGTCTTCATCGGATGACGATTTTTTGCTACTTGCCACTAAAATCTTTATCTTCCGCGAACTTGCTCATTTTACATATCACAACAAACTAACACACTAATGCTTGTCAACGCTTTGCGCCACTATCAAACAGACCGCTTGTCAAGCGGTCGCGTTGATGGAAAATCAAAAATTTTTGATTTTCCATCAACACGAGCCGACAACAAGTACGTGTGACACGACGATCTCCGATTGCCTCGGTTGCTGGGGTAACCAACAACGGATGCTTGAAATCGCCGACGAGCTTTAGGCGCAGTAATTCTGACAATAGTCATATGATGAATTTTGGTTGTGGGAATAGGGCGGTAAGACTCTTTTAAAACGGCATCAAGATTTGTGAACAACTGTGAAACTCTTTATAACTACCTGGGAGTCCACAATAGCGAAACGCTGTCGTGGGTTCCGGGATTTGAAGGGGACGTTAGATATTGAAATAAATTGAAAACTTAAAAACATTTTGTACGTTTTAGACGCCTTTGGTAGGAAGAATAATTGCATTAAAAAAAATCGCCGGTTGTTCAATGTCTGGTTATCACTACCACTACACTATCGACGATTTCGACATCATGCATGTAACATGTGATCGATAAAGCAGTAGTTGTGCTTAACCGGAGCTTCTACCTCCGATTTGTACTAATCAGACATTGAACAACCGGCCCTTAGTCAAGAACGCAGAACTTATACTTAAACGCAGTCTGTGGACGCAGAATTTTGTCGATCACTGGAGCCCTCAGTGTTTCTTACTACAGTGTTGCCACTCATCAATGCCTTTTCATAAACTTACCTTTTCAACTACAATTTTTCGTGCTATAATAGCTCGTAGCTAAATATATACTACTTAGTTTTCAACAAAAAAGCCTTATTCAATAGTAAATTTCAAATATTTTAAACGTATTTTGAATAGGAAATAATAACTTGCAAAACTGACTACGTGGCAACCATCTGAAATCAGCTGACACCGAAAAATCCAAATTCCGCAGATCTGCGCTACGGGCTAGAACTAAAAAAAAATTCTGCGGAGGTGAGTTCTCATTTACATGGCGCTCTGGTAAGACAGATCGTGTCAGCTGACTCGGGTTTACGTACCGGTAGGTTACCGTTCTTGACTAATTTCCGCTTTAAACACCGAAAGGGCATATCAAAAATCGCGAGACAAAAGTTTCCGTGCATATGTAAACACAGACTTTGCAACACCACCTTGTATGAATTCGCCTTGTTAAAAACCAACAAATAAAAAAAGCGAAACGAAGGGATCAAGAAGGGATAATAATTCGAGAGAAAAGCGGAAAAAATAATTGGGAATTGAAATTTTTTTCTCAAAATACTTGGTGGAATCTGAACGTTTCTAAAATATTTGTGCATCAAGATCAAGATTGGTGTGTTTGTTGTGAGAATCTGCATTACTTCGTTCAAATTTGTTTAGTTTATTATTTAGGATTTATGCCGGTGACAAACACGATGTAGCGAAGTATTCTATCAGTCGTGGGTGACAAAAGTATATAAATAGATATATATCTATTACATAGATGGTTATGCTAAATTTTGTTCACGGAATCAAATCATTAGCATGCAGATAAATGCGCACTTCACCCCTTAACAATTGGTATTTTTAATGTCAAGTCTAAGTTCCATGGGTAAGACATCGCCTTTCGCTGCTGCCCACATTTTCCAGTTGGATACCTTTAAGTCCATTTTTCTAAGTTTTAACATTCTATTTGTAAGCAAAATGTATTTAACATTTAATACACGTTGTTTGTACGTCTATAAATCTATATTTTGTTTGATTATACTATATACTGTTACTCACAAAATTGAGCGTACGTTTTTTTTTTGTTAATATTCGCAATGTTTTACCCACATGCTGATGGCCCCGGTAGCCGATGCTCATATTAACTTTTAGTTCTGATATTCATATCGGCACTAAATAATAATAATAATAACCACATGCGAAAATTTTTTATTTTGTATTAAAATATGGCTGAAAATTAAGAAAAATCTGCAAAGTTTCTGCAAAATTGCAGACTTTTTAATAAGAATTTCTAAAAAAATCCAGGTACCTATGCA